TGCATTGCGTGTCTCTCGATGTGCGTGTGTCTGATGTATGTGCACAATCAGTCTGTTTGTATGTCCGTTTGTCTGTACGTTGTGTACACGATCGTTGAAGCTCAACGAAACTCTTCACACGGGGGTATATATGTGTACAAATTGGCAGTCAGTTTCTATATACTTGCATTTATTTACGCTGGAAACACACTTGATCGTCGGGGTCTCTGATGGGAAATCCTGACAGGAACTGGAGGTTACTAATGCTACATATAGCCTTATCGAAAGATACATCTCTTTGCGTATTCATCCACAATTAATAATAGCCAGTGAACGAAACGATACCTTGATGTGGCTATAGGATTATAATACAAACATTAAGCAGTGCTTCGTGGTTTTGGTGAGAGAAAGTGTTTCCCATTGACACCGCATCGCATCAGAATTGTCGGAGTTCTGCTACCTGAAGATTATATCCGGAAACCGGTACAGTGTACTCGAGAACAGAGCTCACGTGAGTACAGATTATACGATCTACCTTATCTTATCGTTCATAATCGAATCCCTGCCATGGTATCTCTGAACACACACTTCCGTTTGCCGTTTCTAAGCTTCGACGAAGTTCCACCGTAAAGAAAGTGTTCACGTAGGCTTTGATTTCGCGACTGAAACCTCCAGAACTTTGGATCAGGTCAGAGACCCCTGTCGCAGACACGCAAACCAACCCACAGAACTCCTTCAGCAGGCCCTGTGAAGCTTTTAAGAAGTACAGAAATTAAACTGAGACACACACGCCGGTAACAAAGGGATTACTAAAGTACTGATGCAAACGCCAATTTGAAAATTAGAGAAAAAAACAAACAAACAAAAAAATGAAAAGAAAAATACAAGAACACGCTGTAAAAGTATCGATGCTAAGGAAAGGATAGAAATTAAGACTGATGGTATGATTTGTGGTTTGTTAGCCAGCGGAACCCATTCGGGAGACTGAGGTATAACGGGGCGGCAGTCTTGCCCGCCGCCACACTTATCCTGTCGGAGTACAAACAAGTACGTAGCTCATGTAGATCGCCTGCCGTTCATAATACGTTGTACCGTCGACATTGCCAATGACGTGCGTGCGTGCGTGCGTGCGTGCGTATGCGTATGCGTATGCGTATGCGTATGCGTATGCAGGATGGACTTGTCGACGTACGTAAACTGTGACGATTGAAACGTTGCCGTCGAGTCGGGCTTTTCTCCGCGTTACATCCTCTTACCAACAACCACCTCTCTCTCCTCGCACCGTAACGTCCGTTGATCTACACGACGACCCGAGGACCCTTCAGAATCGTCGTAGACTCGACCTGCCAGACCATCCGCAGTTTATCGAGAGCAAGCCACCTCTAACCGGTTTTCAGTTTTGATCTTTTACAGAGTAGTAAAGTCGGACGATTGTTGCCCCTGGGAACGAACCGGTACCCCATAAACGACGACGGTATCCTCTATCGCGTATAGTCTGGCAGGGAAGTCGAGAGACCAGTCGACAGACTCTGAGATCCGCACGGGACACCGGTAGCTTCTCAGCCTAGTAGACTTTTCGGAGGTTTTACGTTTCTTTCTGTTCGCAGCGAAGGTAAAGCCAGGTCGACGGCAACGATCGGTCCCACAGACACAGAAACGGACGCTTCGTGACGGCACTATGTTTTTGTGTAGGGGCGGCTCGCCCCTTGTTCAGTAGTCTAGCTGTCTGACATGATTGTGTGCTACGTGTATATTCCCACACCTCGTCGTTGCGACGTACTGTGTCTTTGCGGGTGACTACCGCCCACGATGGTCGAAAGAAAAGCAAGCATCTTTTTCGCGGCTGGCTGTGTGATCCGAGTTTGTTCCGCCCGATCGGGCCAGTCGTTGCGCAATCACGCTCGAATCAGTATATCCAGCCCCAACCGAGAAAATTCTTCCTTTCTTTTTAACGACGCCATCGCGCTGTGCTTGTTTCTTGTTTTGTGTTTGTTCGCCCTGCATTCTCGTCAAGGACCAGTCGAACTCTCTCCCTCGCAAGCGTGTTCTCTCCACCAAGCTTCTCACTTCTCACCCCTCCAGGGTCCTCTAATACTCTCCCCGTGGCCAGTCTCACACCCAACAGCTATCCTCGCTGGTTTCCGGCGAACGGAGTCGCTGAATCGCCGGGACCGAGCAAAGGTACCGGAAGGATCAGTGTCGGAACGATCTCGCCAGCGACCAGCGCGATTAGTCCTCGGCATCGGTGCTGTTCAGACGAATCCCCTTGTGGTCCTCTCTCGTTCAGCCCAGACTAAACTTTCTCTCGCGTTCTGTGCTCGAGTGCGCGTGAGCGTGTGCACGACTGTTGTGTGCGGTGTTGTTCCGAGTGTGTTTGCTGCGTGTCGCCGTTGCTCGGCCGACCTCGCGGCGTACAGAGAAGCGGTCGACGTTGTTGCAGTGGTTGTTGTTTGTCTGTGTGTGTTCTCCTTTAAAAAGAAAACAAACCGAAACGACGAAAAGCAAACGAACAATGCAGAAAGGGTCTCGCGAAGCGGAAGCTTCCGAAAGATCGACTGGTACCCGCGAGTATCCAGGATTCGAAGGAGACCGATCCTCGAATCGACCGACATGTCGAAACGCTTCGGATCGAACTGCTGGAGATTTAAGCACGTAGGCTGAAGCTGTTCGTTGGAAATTTGATCACCGACTCGCTCCGCCGGTTTATCGTGGCCAGCCCGGCGGAGTCGAGGAGAGGCTGGGGAGGTTCTTCGTTAGGGACTCTGGGGACTGAGTGAACGATCGATTAGATGATCGCGCGAGTGACGGGATCACCAACGACGAAACAAAGATCCCCTGGACAGGGTAGCTAAGTCGACGCCGAGCTGTTGAACGGCATGACTGCTGGGTTCTAATTGTAACGTCACTAATTACTCTCTCTCTGTGTCTAGATCTATCTGTGTCTCTCTTACTCTCCCCTTCCTTTCTCTCTTTCTCTCTCTCTATCTCTCTATCTCTCTCTCTCTCTCTGACTCTCTCTGTCTCTCCATCTCTTCTTTTCAGAACGTACGCACCACAGAGTCCCCATTCTCGTTTCCGCTTCACTTAGCCGGCAACGCCGCCGCGCTGCGTAACGTCTGTCTCCTCCCCGTCTCTCTTCGCGCCCGACGAATTCAAGTTCAAGCGTGCGCTTCATCAAACTTACCAATCCCGCTCTCTGGCTCGGTTCAGGACTGTCGCGGACCATTTCTAATTGGACGCGTCCACAGAACCGCGTGTCGCGCTCGCTCCGACGACGCGGGACACGCTCGTGTCCGACCTCCGTGCTGGACAGCTTGGACTCGTCGCAACCGGGTCCGGATACGTTCGGGGACTGTCCGGACCGAGACTGTCGTGCAGTGGGCAGGTCTTTCTCGTTTTTGCCGACCATTTTCGCCGTTTCGGTGTACCAGCCTCGGCTCTGGACTCCTTCGAGCCGGGTTCTGATCCCTCGGTCTGGAATCCCGATGGTCCGCTTCGGGGTTAGACCGCGTCGAGGCTTCAGAGGCTGCCCACGGCGCGAGCTCGTCGCCTTTTTACCATCGCGCCGCAGACTGGTTCCGAAGGGCGCTCGGAAGCGTCCCTCGTTTTCGGCTCCGATGGATCTTGCTCGAGGAACAGAGTCGTTTGCAACGCAACCTCCCGTTTCCCGTCGAAACGCTTCTGGTCGCGGGTACCAGACGCTTCTGGGCCGTTCGACTCGCGAGGAGACGATCAGGATAGGACTATCGGTTTCGGAACGAGCTGCAGCGCGTTTCGCGGTAGCCGTTCTACCTTGGAGAACGGATAAGCTGCGTTATATTCGGGAACTCGATTTCTTCGATTTCGTTTAGATTCGTTGGACCGAAGGAAAGAGAAATTACAAATAAATATAGAAGAAATTGTTAAAACAGGTAGAGTCCGAGTCGACATAGGACCGCTAAGGGTTAAGGTTGGCGAATTCTATGCAGGCTTCTCCATTGCATCCCTGTTTCCTGTTGAGAATCTCTACGTTCACAGGTACCGTACGCTTTACCGATCATCCT